AGAGAGAGAGAGAGAGAGAGAATGGTGTGATATGGAAGGGAGATGGGCTTTAAGAGAAGAGCAGATTTCTTTCTCTCCCTTTGAGCAGTTTGCTAGTTGATAGTGAGATTGCTGTCCTCCTTCCCATCAGTCCCAAGCCTTCAGAACTACTCCTGTCTGTGTATCTCTGCAGCTCTCCTGACACCCATCTACTTGAAGCTGTCATGAATCTTGTTTGCTTGAAGTCTGGTTTTAAGAGTGTTTAATCCCTCAGTTTTTAGTGACTGCCACAGACTTGAAAGCACAGGTTTGGTCTTTGTCACCAATTCAGTGTGACAAAGTGGTGCTCTGATCCTCATAGTGAAGGCTGATACATTTATGCATTCCTTTCTTTTTCTTTTTCTTTTTTTTTTTTTTTTTTGGTACCGGGGATCAAACTCAGGTCCTTGTGCTTGCAAGGCAGGCAGCAGAAACCCCTGAGCTAAGTCCCCGGCTGTTTATGCATTTCTAAGCCATTTTCAGTCAATTATTTATCGTCTCTGTTTGTGGTGGTGACTCAGCCTGGAGGAGAACGTTGCAGGTGCACCTCAATTCTATTTTATTTTCTCTCCCCTCCACACTCTCCAGAACAAGTAGATGGAACTCTTGGGGAAAAAATCTTCAAAGTAAAGGTATGTGTAGAACAAGAAGTATAACTTCTCTATGCAGCAGTAAAATTGATTATCACTCTGGGGATACTGGCCACTTTTTACTACAAAAGTGTGAGAAAGAAAGAGTACAACATTAATGTATACTTTGGATGCAAAGAATCGTCCCTCTTGGGTTCAGGAAAAAGACTGTGTCTTTATTCTTCTTCAAGGAACTTTTGCCTTGAGGATTAGATTAAATCATTTAAATTGGTTTAAATAGATCCAATTAAAAGTTGTCTTCCTGCCCAGCCTAGTGGTGCACTCCTGTAATCCTAGCACTCAGGAGGCTGAGGTGGGAGGCTCGCCAAGAGTTTGAGACCAGCTTGGGCTATATAGTGTGTTCAAGACCAGCCTGAACAACATAGGGAGACCTTGTTTCAAAAAGCAAACAAACAAAAAAATTGTCTTCCTTCATGGAAGATGATTGAGTTATATGTTTCATAATAAATGACTTAGTTGAATCCTGAAGAGAGTATTTGGGTTCTTGAAAATTATGAGTTTAATATGTGAATAGGCTCAGTAGAAACATATTGCCTCAATATTCTAAGTGAACTGATGCCGTGAGCAGTAAAGCTCAGAATCTACATTATATTAAGCCCTGCTTTTAAATTTAATTTTAAAAATTGATTTAAAATAGACTTAAATTCAATGAATGTGTGAATAGTTTCTTCTATTAAAGTTGATGACTTGTTCACTTTGACAAAATGTCCTTCATTTCCCAGACATCTTAAAATGACAATCAAGGCAGTCAATTTTCAAGCAGGGAAATGTTGAGTTTGTATGTGAATGAGTGCAGAAGCAAGTAACCCCCATCAGATAGCCAAAGCAAACCATTCTAAACTTTCACACAACACAGACATTTACTCAGAATTTCTAAGGGGACTTCTCACAGATATCAGCTACTTCAACATCCCAATGTTGATATTCTAGTTGTATGTTTTACACATTTAAACTCTTGGCTAGAAATGATAACTAAAGGATAATAAATTAGTTTTGCATGTATAGTAAATTTACCACATGGAACCAAGCAGGAAAAGACAGCTCATTAAGTCAATGACTGTGGGTTTCTATTTATCTAAAATAGTTGAAATTCTCCACAGCCTCTCCTTCAGGCCCCTACTGAACAATATTATATTAAATGAGTACTGAGACCAAATTTTTATTCTCTTTCAGTAACACTTTTTATAAGTTTTCTAGAAGAAAGTAATCTTAATTACAGTGCTTTACATTACTAGATAGCATTACTATCTCATGTTCCTACATTACTGTATTAGCTTAAGAGGGAGTTGCTTGCATAAAGGTCAAAGATCATCATGTCAGATAATAACCAACAGGATAAACCGTAAAATATAACCAAGGGGGTATATTGGCATATTCCCATATGTTGGGAACCCTTTGTAAACAAAGGGTTGCTGAAAAGCTATAAATTGATAATTGCTACAGTCTACCCCATTCACATGCATTTTTATACACAAATTGAAACTCCTGAATATCTACATATCATATTTCCACCAAATAAGATATAGTTTTCTATCTTGAAGTTATTGCCCTTTTCTTCAAATGAGCTAATCCAGAGTTCCAACTGTTATTTTATCTATCCATGTCTAGGTAAGTATATATATTCTTATTCAGTCTTATGAGAAACTGCCAGAACTTCTTCCAAAGTGACTGACTATATGATTTCGTATCCCCTTCAGTAACAAATGAATGTTTCACCTGCTCCATATTCTTACCAACATTCAGTCTTCTCCTCCAGGATATTATAACTTAAATATAACTATATGTTTATTTTAATAACTGCATAGCTTCAGAACAAGAACCAATTAAACAGAAATTAATTAAAATGGTAGGTTTCATTAGACATTCTGTCAAAGCTCAGCCCTCCTTAAATGCCTTATTGTATTTCACTAATTTACCATATGGAGAAATGGCAACCAAGAGATATGCGTAGAGTGGAAGTCAATGAGAGTTTATTGCTAGAGATAGAAAGCCACACTCCATAGCCTAATGGCTAGGTCGAGTAACTATATTCTTATATTTAAAAATCTGCTTGGTAAAGTGATAATCTATCGTATTAACTTTTTATATTTTTGTCTTCTGACAGGTTCTGTCAGCTTTTAAGGATATACAAAAGGAGGTAAGATTAAACTTTGATTCTCTAAATTTCCTAGCCTCATCAACTTCCTGGATCCCATTTATATTTCCTACTGAGATGATGACTGAACAAAAATCTTACTTTTATTTATTTATTTATTTATCCTAGTGACTTCTACCTTTAAAGTAGCACTGACTTATCTGTCCAGACAATTAAAGGAAAAGGAAGCCTAATGATTCTCTTGAGGAAGTATGATCATCTATAGAGAAAATTACATTTACCATAATTTCTCTCAGCAATGTGGTTATATGAAATGCTGAGAAGTAACCAAGTTGAAGGGAGTATACAAGTAATATCATAAAATTCATTCTTAGGTGAGTATGTCTATTAAATGCAGGAAAGTACAAATTAGAGGCCAGGGCTTTGAGGGTAAACAGAAACAGCTCTCTTCCTCTGCTCTTCCTCTATGCTGAGGTTTGTTTGTTGTGGTATTGGGGATTGAACCCAGCCCCTTCCCACTGAGCAATATCTCTAAACCTTTTTATCTTTTATTTTGAGACAAGGTCTTACTAAGTCACTAAGTTGCCCAGACTAGGCTCAAACTTGCAATCCTCTTGCCTCAGCCTCCCAGTGTAGTACAAATACAGGCATTCACCACTGTGCCTGGTTATGCTGAGTTATTATATTAAATTTCTCAAGGTCCTACTAAGCCCATCATTGCATTTTTTCTACTTTCTGTTACAGTGGAGAGCAATAGACACTCTCCATACACAATTACTAATGACAGACTATTTACATAGGCTATAAAAATAGAAAAGCACATAATTTAGGACAGGACAGCATAAATATCATAAAACAAGGACAAACAGGAAGCTTCTGTACCAATTTCTTAGCTTTTGTTCCCCTGAATATAGATATAATTTCATTAAAACTAGAATCTAAATACAATAGTAGCCTCTTGTAGTCTTGGGAAGAGTAGCTCTCTCTTCCTAGCTGGGAAGGAATAATGATCAGAGATTGAGAAGGCACTGGAAATAAACTTTCTCTCTTTCACCATTCAGATCACTTTTGGCCTTAGAACTGAGCCCCTATGGTCCAAGCAGCTATGTCATTGTATTCTGTTAGAGCATCTGAGACTTAATCATGAAAATCACAGCAGCCTTTGCCTCCACTTGTCTGTAGGTAAAGAGGGCACTAGGTCGAGTTCCAAAACTTGATATTTTCACCCAAGTTTTGCTTCTGTGGTCAGGATGCCTCCACCTTACCCACAGCATCAGTCTCCTTAGGTCACAGTCTCTTCTGGCAGGATTTGAGCTAGTGGAAAAGGGGAGCTTATATGTAGTGACTCACAGCCATTGGCTCACATGAGCTTAGACGGCTCTAAAACAGTAGCTATTTACTCTGAAGTGAGTGATAAGGGATTTTTAAAATGTCCTTCACAAGTAGTTTAAGGTCCCCTAGAAAGAACCACTGGAGATTCAGTGAGGAAAGTGAAAGGGACCCAAAAAGTGTCACAGCAGAGAGTCCAGACAGAATGAAAGAGTGAGTTCATTTTATAAGTAGTTAAGGATGTAAGTAAAAAAAGTGTGTTTCTTCCACTCTTAAGAGTTGTCAGCTTACTGTGATAAAAACAGCATGGTACTGGCAAAGAAACAGACCTGAGGACCAGTGGAACAGATTAGAAGATGCAGAAACAATGCCAGACACACTCAGCCATCTCATCTTCGATAAAGGAGCCAAACACCCTCACTGGAGGAAAGATAGCCTCTTTAATAAATGGTGCTGGGAAAATTGGGCTTCAACTTGCCAAAGATTAAAACTAGACCTGTATCTCTCACCATGCACTAAACTAAAATCAAAATGGATTAAAGATCTAAATATTAAAATAGAAACTCTGAACCAGTTGGAACAGAGGTTAGGTAGAACCCTTGAAGACATCGATGTAGGAAAAGATTTTATGAACAAAACCTCAGTTGCCCGTGAACTAGCACAAACAATCAACAAGTGGGATCTCTTCTTATTAAAAAGCTTCTGCACAGCAAGAGAAACCACCAGCAGAGTGAAGAGACAATCCACAATGTGGGAAAAAATCTTCACCTGCTCTTCCTCAGACAAAGGTCTACTATCTCGAATCTATAAAGAACTTCAAAAGATCAGACCTCTCAAATTTAAAGACTCAATCAAAAAATGGGCATCTGAAATGAACAGACATTTCTCAGAAAAAGAAGTAGAAATAGCAAATGAAAAAATGAAAAAATGTTCAACATCACTGGTCATTCGAGAGATGCAAATGAAAACAATGCTGAGATTCCACTTCACTCCAGAAAGAATGGCTGCTATCATGAAATCAACCAATAACAAATGCTGGTGGGGCTGTGGGGAAAGAGGAACCCTGCTCCACTGCTGGTGGGAGTGTAGACTGGTGCAAGCACTGTGGAAATCAGTATGGAGATACCTCAAAGAACTAGGACTGCAAGTCCCATTTGACCCCGCTATTCCACTGCTGGGGATCTTCCCCAAAGAATTAAAAGAATCATACCACAGTGATATATGTGCACCCATGTTCATAGCAGTGCAGTTTGTAACAGCTAAAACTTGGAAACAGCCCAAATGCCCATCAACTGGAGACTGGAGAAAGAAAATGTGGTTTTTTTATAAAATGGAGTACTACTCAGCCATAAAAAATAAGAAATTAGAGACATTTATAGCTAAGTGGATGCACATTGAAGCGATACTCTTAAGTGAAATAAATAGGACACACATGTGTAAATACCAAATAGATTCTCTGGTGTGAGAAACTGAAAGTGTAAATAAGGACTAAAGGTATAATAGGTAATGTGAAATAGGAAGAAAAGGGGCAAAGGGGAAGGAAGTGGGAGGGCTAGGGGAAAGGATAGAAGGGAATAGGATTAATATGAGAAAATGGAAAAATAGGAACAAAATCTTTGTAAATAGAGAGGACTGGAGGGGTTGAAGGGAGGGCTGGGCAAGGGTGAAAAATAAGAACCAAGAGAGACTTTGTAAAGGTGCAAATTTCCAATGATGAATGTCATTATGTTGTATACCTAAAATGTACCAATGATTAGAATGAATAATCGGTAACGTAAAATAGGAAGAAAAGGTCCAAAGGGGTAGGGGTAGGGGGAGGGGCAGGGGAAAGGAAAGAAGGGAAAGGAAAAATGATGAGAAATGGAAAAAATGGAAATAAAGTCTTTGTAAATAGGGAAGGGTGGAGGGCGTGAAGGGAGGGCTAGGAATGGGGAAAAAATAAGAACCAAGATGCATTATGTAAAGGTACAATTCCCAATGAGAAATGCAATTGTGTTGTATACCTACAATGTACCAATAAAAGAATTTAATACAAAAAAAGAGTTGTCAGCTTGCTCCTATGTATTTATTACTTCATTATGCAATGTATATTGAGCATATACTGTATGCAGAGCATTACTGTCAGTGTTTTGGTTTAAGAGATACAAAGACAATACGAATTCTGCTTTCAAGAAATATATAATTCATTTCCATTCCCAAAAAGCCCATATTCCCCAAAGACATCACTACATCTGCCAAGCCTAAAGCTGGTCTATTCTGAAATCTGAGACCAGTCTCTTGAGTTTCTGAGTCACTAAATTCTCACCATTTTTCAGTTGCAGGAAGATGCTCGGATTCGAGGTAAAAAAAAAAAATTCCAAGATTCGGATAAAGGATGGAATTTGAGAAGGAATAAGGAAGAGTTCATCTCAAAGTCTCATCTTAGGACCTTCTCTGGGTTTAAAGCTGTACTCCAGGTCCTCTTTGTTCCCCTTCAATCAAGATGGACACTGCCTTTTTATAAAGCCTTCAAGAACACTCTCATCCAGTGGTGGCGAATCCATGGCACGCATATCACAGCCAGCTGTTTGCTATCATTGAAAGATCTAAAAGGTTCGCCATCACTGTGAGTCTCTCTCTCTCCAGCCCAGTTACCTGGTGTCTTATTTCTTGACACTGTTATAATAGAATATCACAGACTGGATAGCTTATAAACAACAATAATTTATCTCTCACAATTCTAGAGGCTGGGAAGTCCAAGATCAAGGCACTGGCAGATTTTGTGCCTAGTGAAGGCCCACTTTCTAGATCACAAACACCTGGCTTTTTGCTGTGTTTTCACATGGGAAAGGGGGCAAGGGAATTCCCAGGTTCTCCTCTATAAGGGCACTAGTTTCATTCATGAAACCTAGAGTCTTCATGATCTAAGCACTTCTTAACAACTCTTCTTCCAAATACCATTGCATTGTGGATTAGCTTTCAGCCTATGAATTTGGAGGAGACACAAGCACTCAGTCTATTGCACTGGAACAGGGATAGAAGGATCCCAATCATCCTAGTAATGGCTGTTGAGGGCTTGGTGGCACTCTCCGCTCTCAGTCAGATATGGTTCTTTCAGTAGAAGAGAGACAGGAAACACAGGAGATAGAAATTTCTTAGGTCTGCTATAAGGGATCAGCAGGGATGCAATAATGGAGAGGTGAGAGTGGAATGATTATTCAAAGTCAAGTTATAGTTCTCAAGGGCTCATATGGAAATTCTAGTGTTTTAGGAAAATACCCAAAATATCCAGGAACCTAGAGTTATACAACATCAAAGCCATATTTGGAGCTTCTTCCTCGACTCATCCAGGAAAGAGTCTATAAATAATGGTTTTTCAAACTTTTCCATGTGTACAGATTATGTGGATCCCTTTTTAAAAGTAGGTTCTTATTCAATAGGCCATAGAGGTGAGGCCACCCAAGTCCTCTGGGGCTAAAATCTCACCATCAAGGTTAGATTGAGGTTCTGAGGCTGGCTCTCATATGAGGCCGAAGCTGCTGATTCACAGATAATACATTGATTATCAAGGATATATACAACAGCCAAAAGAGAGATTCCTTATTATCGAATGAAATAGGATTTAATTCTGGCATCTCCACCCCTCATTGAAAGGTTAATACTTCAGCTGTGGGTTTGGGAGCAGAAGGCAAAAGAAATCTAAAAGTCTGACTGCTCTTTAGCTCTGGTATTGGAACCACTGTATGTTTTTCTAGCGCCTCTGCAGAGTTCATAAAACCACAAATCTTTCTGATATTTAAATACAGACAACCCATAGAACAGTCCCTCTGATATTTCTCCAAGTCTTGTCAATAACCTCCATTCCAGAAAAAGAAAATGTGGTCTTGCAGAATCCATTGTGAGAACAGAGAAAATTTTTCTCATTGTTGATCCCTCAAGGGCAAAAGGACAAAGAGTCAGGGTTACCTCTGCTTGAAGGATGTTCTTTAACCAGGAAAACTTGATTTCTAAAGAGGTCACTGCAGGGCCTTGGGAATATATGCCTGATTAGCCAGCAGACTGTAAAAATGTGGATTTATGATTTAGTTTCTGCTGTTGTTTCTTTTCATCCTGAAAGGTGGGGGAGAAGGATCAGATTTGGGTGAGTGAGGAGAATCAGTTTTATTATATCCATGTTCCATACAAAAAAGCGAGATAAGATGTGAGAAACCATAACTGGTTCCAGTGGCAGTGCACTTAAACTGAAATATCCAAATAACTAAATAATTAGCCCTGGCTGAACAGAACTCCAGAGATGATAATTCACTAATGCTTCACAGATGTCTTGTGCCACATTCTGCAACCACTTCCCTGACATAAATCTGGCACATCCTAGTTTAACTTTCTATACTCCAAATGAGGGGTGGGAGCTTGGAAACTGGAGGGATATTTCCACACCCTGTAACAGCAAGCTTCCTTCCTGTATCCACCTTAGGGATGAGCAACTGTTCTGTGACACTCATATCCTCTGCAGCCAAAATGGGGTAAGTGTCTCTATTCTGACAGTTTCTAAAGGGGATAGCATGCATCTGGAAATGAGTGTAATGGCCAGGAATACAACTAGATCTGAACCTGACCCTTTAGAAGACTCTACTTCCAATACATGCTCTGATACAGAACAAGAGTTGGTCCCCGCCACTCTTGATTGAAGGTGAACTGAGAAGCTATGAAAAAAGAGATAATCAGGGTCTTAGAAAAATTATAAATAAAATTCAAAAATGTTTGAAATACCAATATCCCAACATTGAGAGATGTCAGTTTATTTTCCACAGAACAAGACAATGAGAAAAAATATCAAGCTACCATACCCGAGATCTAATTTAGACTTAGATTTAGTTGGAATAACTTCCAAGAGTGACAATAGAGAAACAGGGAACTAAACAGTCAAGAAAGATGGCAACATCATGCTTTAGAGAGCTTTAAAGATGTATACATTTTTTCAAACATTAGTTCAACATGTTTCAGGTATGGTCCTGCCTGAACCAAGAAGTGGGAAAAGTGAACTCCCTAAATCCCTTTTTGAACAGAATTTGTCTCTACCTCAGAGAATTGGCCCTTGAAAAATAGAACCATGCCTTTTACAGAGATCAGTCATTGTGCTTCGGCTTGTTCAGTGCTGAAACCATGGAACAACTGACAGGTGACCTTATTTAAATAAATTCTAAATGTAATTATTATAAACTTTAACATGAAGAGCACTTTTGATTGGTCAAAGTCCCTTTGAATCTACAATTTTCCTTAATCTTACTATTCCTATGAGATAAGCAGGAGGAATTCTCCCGATGAAACCATAAATTCAGGTAGGTTATTACACTTGATCTCCTAATGCCCAGCAAGGGCTTTTCCTGTGGGCCCCATGGTCACCAAGGAATTACAACACCCAGAGTCAGTGGTGCTAACTCCTAGTAGAGTGTGCTAATAAAATCCATTAAGATGGTGGTGACCAGAGACAGGGTGCAAAGGGTGAGATCTTTTTCCCTCATACATGCACAACCTCCTCTTATTTGGTACAGAAGTACAAGACCTCCAGATTTCTCTACAACCCCAAAGGTGAGATCACAGTTCAAGACTGGAGACTGGCCATCAGGAACCCATTTCCACAACCTTAAGACACAACACTCTGGCCAGTCAGCTTACTACCCTGGACCCTAACTCTGTCATCAAGAAAGAAGGACTCCTCTGCTTCTGCCAGGTGTTTTTCCTGTGACCTTTGCCTACACTACCTATCATACTACAGCCAGGAGCCCAAGCCTCATCAATACTTATCCCAATATGATAGAGCAGCACCCTATCAAGCAGGTGTCATCCAGGGCAAGAGGCAATGGAGTGAGAGGGTGACAAGTGAAGCAAGGGTCAGACTAGGTTCTTTTAGTCTCTGTAATCAAGACAAAGACCTGCACAGAGTATATCAGATATGGGTAGTTCTGTGTGAGAAAGACTGTTCAGGAATTAAGGAGAAACAGTTATGGGACAAAGAGATGGAAAGATGGAGAGTTTAAAAACACACTAATAAATGTGAAGCCAAATTTCCTTCTGGAAAGTCCTCTATAAACTTACATTATTTGGGGGACTTAATTCAGTATCAATTCAAATACAATACATTCCTAGTGGATTCCATTGTCAGGGTCCTCAGTGGCACTGCTTAAGTGACAGGTCTTTTCCCCAACTCTTTTTAACTTTCCTGTTCCTTAGGATCATGTAACACCTAACTCTATCTGGAGAAGTAGACTATCTCAGATGTTCACCCTCTAAATGGCTCTCTTTAGGGCTTATTGGGACTTCCTTTCAAGACAGAGTCTGAATTATAGGTGGTGGAGAAAATTGGTTTCATCTCCCTGAGACTTAGCACAATGGCTCTATGTATTTTATCATATTTCCCATACAAGCAAACAAAATACACAAAATAGTCCAATATTTTAGCAACAAGATGACATCTTTATAAAAAAACACACATTCACAAAACTTCATCATCACTCAAAACCCAGTTTTGGTTTGGATATTAAGCCAGAAAGCTGTCTTTCTCATTAGTACAATGTGGTGAGCAAGTGTAAGACAGCAAAGATCCTGAAGTGGATACTGTTTAGAAAGGATATTATCTACAGCTAATGGATCTCTTCCTTCAGTTTGTGTTTGATACTTTGGACTGGGATCACTAGGGTAGAAGCATCATCACAAGAACTGCTTTTACCTTCAGTGCCACCTGCCTCATAAGCTACCTAGCAGGGAGGAGAAGAAATTTCTTTTTTTCCCATCCATGTGACTATGACATCTAGAGCTCAGCTTAGTTGCCTGAAAAAGAGAAGAAAGATATTAGGCGAACATCATCACTGAAGAAGAGGAAAGGGTCTCCATGGGCAGAGATGCCAGTGTCTATGGCTGCAACTGGGAACATGAAAATCAGCTGAGACCCCAGCCTATCCTAATTGCCAAGCAGAGAAGCCAGCAAATTAACAACTGTGGAAATAAATGTGACATTAAAAAAATTGCCCTCTTGGTTGTTCTTGGATTGTGAAATGTGGTGACAGGATCATATTTGGTTCACATAATGGCACACTCTATGCTGGGAGAAGTTATAAAATTATAACTCATTTTGGCTGTTCCACCACTCCCAGCCCAGAGCAAGGGGTTTCTGGGCCACCGTTCCACCTCTCTCAGCCCAGAGGAAGGGGCTTCTGGGCCACCATTCCCAGAGCAGAGGAGGCGAGCTGCGTGGGGGTCAACAGCACCACCACCACACAGCCCCACCCCCACGTCAAAATGAGAAGACACATAAACACATCTCAAAACCAGAACTCCAGATCACCACAGCAACCCCAAAGGGAAATGAGATGGACACTCTGATACTCAACCACCTAGACTCCCTGAAATGGAAACAAAAGAGGATCTGGAAAAAATGAAATCAGAACTAATTTCTCAGATAACAGCAGAGATTGTGCCCGTACTGCAAGACATGATTAATAAATCTAGAGAGGACAAAGATAAAAAAAATAGAGGAGCTGAGGAACATGATGGAAATCATGATGGAATCTCAACATAGAAAACAAATGGAATTCATAAAACAGATAAAAACAGATTTCTAGGGGATTAAAAACTCCACTGAAAGTCTACACAGCAGAATGAGCCAATGTGAGGACAGAATTTCAGATATAAAATTTCAGATAAGATTGTAATTAGTGACCAGGAAAAGAAAAATTGCTTCAAAATTATAAGGAAACATGAGAAATCAATCCAGCAGCTGCTAGATGATGGAAAGAAGAATAACATAAGACTGAATGGAGTTAAAAAAGAAACAGGAGAGAGCTCAAATGACATAAAAAAAAACTGTTCACAGAAGTAGTGGCAGAAAATTTCCCAAGCAGGGGAAAAGAACTTGACATACAGATAAGTGAGGCATATAGGACTCCAGCTAGC